GTTAAATGTCTCTTCCAAGGAAACTAATTATTGTTTTAAAAATCCAAGCCCAGAAACTTCACGGTGTTTCTGTTCAAGGCTGAGTTGATAGCACTTTTGGCTTGCTTTCAGATCCAAGGTTGTGTGTGTCTGCAAACTGTCTGTCTGTTCTGGAAGGGGAGGGGGAGGGGGGGCACTGTCCCTTGTAAGTAAGCCTGTAACATTGCATGTGATTCTTTTCAGGAAAAGAAAACCTTTTTGCTTGCTGGAATAGTAACTAACAAGCATCTTGTTCTAAGAAAGTTTCTGTAGCAGTAAAAAAAAAAAAAAAAAAAAGCCTGGTCTGCAGTTCAAGAGGGAAACTGAGGCATGCCACCTTTAACTTAATTCAACAATGAAGTAATTTACTCAAACCCTCTGAAGCTGGTGTTCAAAATAAAAGCATACCATTGGGTAACAGCAGTCTGATCAAAAGTAGCAAAAATCTATAAAGAAACAGTGTTCTAAAATATAATGCACCACTCCAATGTGGATAGAAATGTTTTTGTCTTTCAGATCAGAAAGCGCTAATATCGGCTGAAAATTAACGGAAGAAAAAAAAAAACCCACCATGGTTGTGTCATGACATAAGTTTGTGTTCTGTCCAGATTTGTTGTGTGTGTTGATTGTGATATATGTATTTCAAACACTGTTGTGTGTACAATATTGTTGTTTTAATGAAAGAATAATTTAAGTCCCTTGAATAATCTTAACTTTGTGCTTTTTTTGCTTTTATAATTCTAGTGGAGTTTTAGCTGCTATGCAGTTTGTACTGTCTGAATGTAGTGAAATCTGCTCCTCTACCTGCTGTTTTTCCCTTCTCTCCTACCATCACCAGCTCCTTTGCCGTCTATTTCAGAACTGGCCCTCCTGAGAGACCAAGCCCCAGAATCAGAAAAGCAGGAGTGGAGACTGGCGGGGTGCACCTTGCACCCAGACCACTTGTGGTGCAGCTCTGATGGCCACATTGTTGCCCCAGTGGTCTTGCTACCTCACCTTGCCTCCGTGCTCCCTGGATTGTCACACGTTGGCAAAGGGGGAGATGGTAGCAATCCTTAAAAAAAAAAAAAAAAAAAAAAAAAGTTTCCCCCCAAATCCTCCCAAGCCTCACCTTGCCCCTGTGCTCCCTGGATTGTCACACGTTGGCAAAGGGGGAGATGGTAGCAATCCTTAAAAAAAAAAAAAAAGAAAAAAAGTTTGCTCCCAAATTCTCCCAAGCAGCCAAAGATTACTGTCTGGCTTGCCCTGTCTCCCAAGCCCATAACGTGGGTAAACCTGTAAAGACAGTTCCGGCAACCAGACCTCCGCCTTTGGGACCATTTCTGAATTTACAAATGGACTTTATTCAATTGCCTAAATGTCAATCTTTTAAATAATGTGCTGGTTAATGTTTGCTTGTTTTTGAGATGAGTAGAAGCTTATCTCTGCAGAAAAGCTGATGCCATCACAGTGGCAAAGAAACTTCTAAATCATTACATCCCATCATGGGGAATACCCCTTGTGATCTCCAGTGAAAGGTACACACTTTACTGGACAAATTGTTCAAAAACTGGCAAAGTACTACTCTACCAGACAAGCACTGCACTGTGCATGACACCCGGAGAGCACAGAAGCAGTAGAAAGATGAAACAGGATTTTAGAGAACAAACTTGCTGAAATGCGAGAACTCTGACTTAACATGGGTAGAAGCACTCCTAATTGCCCTAATGAGCATGAGAGCCACTCCTAATCAGAAAACTGGACTCAGTCCACATGAAATTGCACGTGGCTGACCTATGAGACTGTTAAGCAGCCCAGAAATTAACCTGGCTGATGCCACACTTGTTAAAGGAAGCATAGTCAAGTATTGTCAGGAACTTATGAGGTGTGTACAAGTCTTATCATTCACAGGTTAAGGACGCCTTCCAGGAGGTCCCAACTGAGCCGTGCCATAAACTACAACCAGGAGACTGGGTTTGTGTGAAGATTCACCAGCAAAAGACTGCCCTGGAACCCAGGTGAAAGGGTCCCTACAAAGTCCTTCTTACCACTCATACTGCTGTAAAGTGCGAGGGATTGCCCGCCTGAATTCACACCTCCCACTGCAAACCGGTTCCAGCCCCTACAGAGGTTGGCCCCAACAAGGAGCACCGCAGACCTGGTACCAGAGACCCAGGTCCAGAAGTCGACAGCAGTAAACCTCATTTTACGAGGAAGAACGCCTTTTTTTGAAAAAGCTTTCTCGAAAAAAAGACATTGACCGCGAACAGGGATTTTTCGAAAGAGCATCCGGAGTGCCTGGGTGCGCTTTCAAAAAAGTTGTGGCTGTCTAGACGATCTCTTTCGAAAGACACGTGTAGTCTAGATGTACCCTTATTGAGGAATGGTAATGAGCTATGGGCTCCACTGAAAAGCATGCACTCAACTTTTTTTTTATAAAGTACCCCCAGTACCTACATTTTTCAACCGTTGCAACACATTTGTTTAAACAACTTAATCGTAGCTGGGCGGGCAATTAAATTTTTGGGTGTAGAAGTACAAATAAACACACTGTACAACTTAAAACAAGTTCAGTTTTCAGTTGTGTTGATGTACCCCGCAGACTTCTCTGAAGTACCCCTAAGGGTACTCGTACCACTGGTTGAGAAACATTGCACTACTGTACACAATTAAGGGTTTTCCAGTCCAGCAAGTTTCTAGAATTTCACCTGTTCCTAAAGCCACCTCTGCTTTTGTCCATTTGTAGTTTGACAAAGTCTGGTTGGTAGAAGTTCGCTGCCCGGATGGCTAAGTCATGTGGTAGAGCTAATCCCTCTAAAGCCGCTTGCTGCATCCCCAGTGGACTCATCTGAAATCAAGAAAGAGGAGACAGCATTAGAATCTCAGTGAACTCTTTTTTAATCCCAGATCTTGCATTATTCCATGAAGGGGAATTCAAATATTTGAAACAGTCATGAGTATTCACCACTACAGTCAACAGGTGTGGCAGACATTTAAACAAGCTCATCTGAAAGAGTTAAATTTGCACCACTGAGTTAGTGTCCAATTCATCTCAATGCACTGCTGCAAAATGCCACTTAGCACAGCAACCGTGTTCTAGGACTAGAAATGATGGCAGGTGCATCTTCCTCCCAAGAGTGATGTGCTGAATAGCATGCTTCATCAAAACTAGTGATTTAATCAACTGAAATAGCATCTATATGTAACCATTAAATAGGAATTAGCATCCCACCATTCAAACCCCAGGTTATACAAGAAATGGGTAAAAAAGGTGCTCATTAATATTTAAGTTTCAGTAATCACCAAATCTAACCTGTGCAGCAACTGGGCCTATTGACTTCTGCATCCCCTGAAACGGATCATGGAGCAATTGCTGAGAACTTGGTCCAAAACCTACAGGACGACAACATCTAAAAATTTTAGAACTGGTATTTATTCTTTGACAACTTTAGCTCCTCCCACAGTTCCTTTCCTTGATTTCAAAGGTGGCTAGGTGGGGTTTCTTTTGAAGCACCTCAACACCACTCTTGCTTTTACAGATCTGTGCAAGCTGGTAAGCAAGCTATCCTCTTATTTTGCAATACAGAGTGCCAGCCAGTGCCTGAGAGGATTTTCTTGTTTAAACTGTAGACCACAATGCTATGAAGTAAAATTAGTCCTTAATATGCAAGTACTAACAAGGCCCAACTTGGTCAGTTTGGATTTTCAAACTTTAGTGTCAGCAGATTGTTTGAAGAGGCAGGGGAAGACAAATGGCCCTGGAGGTGGTCATCCATTAAGTGTTAGATAATGCTGTCCAAAGTCCTTCTCTGAATTCAGTTTTAAAATTGAAAGGTCAAAGTGGGGAAAAAAAAGTCTCTTCCCTATAAGTTCTGCATGTTAGAAGCAGTCTCGCTTACCAATTGGCGAGGGGATCCTATGATGGAGGTAGTCTGCAGAAGCAGCCTGAGTTGGAAACACCTGTGAAATCAAAGGGGACGGTGCTCTTTGGCTCAGCAAAGATGATGCAGGTTCCAAGCCACCTATCAAGCCACTAAGAACATTTGATGAAGTAGGTCTGGCAATGAGTGGACCAAGCAGCTCCTTGGAGGAAAAAGTAACAGCTGTCAAATATTAACTGTATTGTAATCTTCATACAATCTGCAGACAGTAGTACATATGTCAGGTAATAGCTAGACATGCTACAGTTTGACCAACGCTTAGTGTACACACTTAGGCTATGTATAAACTACATATCCCACGCTTCATTTACATATTCGCATCCAAGCGCTTTCAAAAAATGGCTTTTCGAAAGGGAAAGCGCAGTCTAGATGGGGTTCTTTTGGAAAAAGACCCCTTTTTCGAAAGAACCCGACCTAATTTTTTTCCGGAGTACTAGGCTCCCTACCCAGCTGTAGGCTCTGCGTTCCTGGCTGCCTGCTGCAACCTCCAGCCCTCCACTGTGCCTGGCTGGGACTGCGCTCCTTGCTGCTAGCCCTGACCTGTGCCCTCCACGGGCTACACTTCTGAACCTGGCCAGCCAGGGCTCTCCAGTCCAACAATACCCGTGATCCTGCTGGGCCACGGATGTCGCCGGACCAAATAGTCCTGGATTTTAAAGGTTCATCCTGTACCTACTTCATTAACAGTACAACCACTTTCTTATCCCACCAATACATTATGAAATTGTAATTAAATCTTCTGATAAGCACTGCTAGCTAACCAGCTCAGATGGGGGCCAAGTTAAAAAGACAGATGATTGTAGTTCTCTGTTCCAAACAGATTCTCAACTGTATCATTGAGTGCTCTCAGTGAAGACTTTACTAGCTTCCATCTGCTAAAACTGCATGAAGACAGCTAAAAATGTCAACTACTTCATTGAATTTTAAAAGTTAAATAAAGATTGCTTAGACAGAGGTTAAACTTTGTAACTACACAAGATTATATTCCTGGATAACTGCCAGCAAAGGGTTTAATAAACTAGTACATGGAAGAGCCCTCCTTTCTCTACAATTACCACACAAGTTTTAGAATCATAGAACACTAGGACTGGAAGGGACCTCCAGAGGTCCTAGAGTCCAGTCCCCTGCCCTTATGGGTCTAGACCATCCCTGATAGATATTTATCTAACCTGCTCTTAAATATCTCTAGAGATGGGGATTCCACAACCTCCCTGGGCAATTTATTCCAGTGTTTGACCACCCTGACAGTTAGGAACTTTTTCCTAATGTCCAACCTAAACCTCCCTTGCTGCAGTTTAAGCCCATTGCTTCTTGTTTCTATCCCCAGAGGCCAGGAAGAACAATTTTTCTCCCTCCTCGTGACACCATTTTAGATACCTGAAAAACCACTATCATGTCCCCCCTCAATCTTCTCTTTTGCAAACTAAACAAGCCCAATTCTTTCAGTCTTCCCTCATAGGTCATGTTCTCTAGACCTTTAATCATTCTTGTTGCTCTTCTCTGAACCTTCTCCAATTTCTCCACATCTTTCTTGAAATGGTGTCCAGAACTGGACACAATACACCAAGGGTATGTCTACACTACAGTGCTAGTTCGAACTAACTTAGTTCGAATTAGTTAATTTGAACTAAGCTAATTCGAACTAACGCGTCTAGAACTAAAAACTAGTTCGAATTAGCGTTTTGCTAATTCGAACTAGCAAGTCCACATTGAGTGGACTCTGAACAGGGCTTAAGGATGGCCGGAAGCAGTGCCGGCAGGGCATCAGAGGAGGACTTAGAGC